ATTAAGGTTAAATCTTACCTACTTTTACTTTTCCAATGTGGTTACTAGTAGTTGATTTGAATTTACATAGATAGTTCACATTATATTTCTATTAGACAGTGCTGTTAAAGACTGTCTACCAGTGAATGAACAGGAACTGGAGTGAAAGGGCAGAAGTAAACGTAATGACAAGCAAAGGAAAAAAATATCTGGGATTGAATCAGGCCAGCACCCAAGGTTATCCTTGAAGTTAGTGTTCTTTAGAGCATGATTCATGCATGTACCATCTGCCTCAGATTTTCAGGATGGGGAAAGTTGTTAAACTCAGATTCCTGGATCTATTGCAGACCTTCTGAAAAAGAATCTCTGAGAGTGGGGCCAACTGCAACATCAATCATCTTTCATTATTTTAGTTTCTTCCTTGTGAAGGTTTTAAGTCCTACCTATCAAGGGGGATCTGCAGAAGAGCCTGTAACTCTGGTTTTATAAAGGCAATGAATGTGATGCCATTTTTCTTAATTTTCTGACCAATTTTGTTGGATTGGACTTCAATAAAATGAAAGATTCAGGCAGTTGATGACAGTGTCATTTAATGCTTGCTTCTTGGAGGCAGAGCGGTTGCTACTTACTTAATAGATAGGAAAAACACAGTTTGAATTGCCCTCTGATTTGTAGTCTAGGCCTTGTCCGAAATGAGTACCACGTGACTCTGCATATGTTATTTGGTGGTTGGTGGAGTTTTTGGAATCTTTATATTGCACCTAGATCATCCTAAAGATGGCTTGGTGTTCTTAATTCTGTGATACACTTTGTTAACCTGATTTACCTTTCTAAGTTATACCACGGTTTAGGACTTTCAGATTATCCTGTCCTACAAGATATATTGACCTATTTATTCTCCTAAGAGAATATGAATGGATATGATGAACCATTTTAGTTTTTATTGATAGTAAATTAAGCATATTAGTCTTATTTCTTAATGATGACTTAGAATTTATAGACTTCAATATGTTCCATATTAACATAAAATAGTGTATACTTCTCAAATGTATGTTAAACACTGATTTGGTTACCTACATCCTTGACCAGTGATCAATTAAAAAACACTACTAATGATACTGACTAAAGAATACTATCCTTCTCAAAAAGATTATCAGAAGGAAGTACTGTAGCTGAGTGTGGTGGCTCACACCTATAACCCCAATATTTTGGGAGGCCAAGGTGGGAGGATTGCTTGATACCAGGAGTTTGGGACTGACCTGAACAGCATAGCAAGTTCTTGTCTCCACAAAAAAAAGAAATCAAAAAATTAACTGGCATGGTGGTGCGTTCCTATAGTCCCATCTACTTGGTAGGCCGAGGAGGAAGGACTGCTTCAGCCCAGGAGACTACTTGAGTCATGTACCCACTGAACTCCAGCCTAAGCAACAGAGTGAGACTCTGACCCCCCCCAAAAAAATACTGTGCCTGAATAAAATTCTTTACATGAACAACAACTTTATTAGACATTTGTCAGCTACTTTTTAAATATAAACTATCTTTTTTTCTAAGGAATGTGCTTGCTCTGCTTGTAATTTGAGGGCATAAGAAGTAACTCTGGTTGAGTGCTGAGATTCGAACACTTTTTAACAACTGACGATATCTGTCAGCAGCTTGCAAAGCTGTTATCAAGTGATTTTCAACAGAATTTAGGAGGCCTCAAAAATTAAATCACTGACACTGAGTAGAAATAGCCACAAGGGTATAATGCTTCATTGGCAAAATATTTCCCAATTTTAAGTTGACTAGAATTTGTAATGTGTTTTCTCATAGTATTATAGATAGACTTGGAATCTAGAGCAACCTTTAAAAAAATCTTTAACTTACCTGAATAATAGTAGTATTTCACCTTCCTTTAGCCTCTGTTTATATCCTGATTTCTTTGGGAAAATGTATCCCTATGATAATGGAAGATGCCTGATTAAATTGTCTTTCCTTCTTGTTGAGAGAAGCTCTCCATTAGGACATTGAGAAATAGGTAAACTCATGAATACAGATGTCTTGTATAAAGTATTTCTCAAGGCCTTTCTTTTCTTGGATGTTTTAAATTGCAGCATAAACAGATAGTGGGTCTCTGCAGGGTGAGGGAATATAAATTATTGGTGTCTTGTTTGATTGTATGAGTCATTTGTGAATTGAGTCAGGTACTTTAATACCAATATGGAGGAGAAATAACACTTACTAAAAATAGTTTTGTACAGCATTCGGCAGAGTTTAATGTACATGTAAGCTCTTCCAGGTACTTTGTTTTCTACTGTATGAGACAATACATATTCCGAAACTGTAAATGGGACAACCAAGTTATCTGCCATCAAGCCATAATAGGACAGTTGTTTTTGATGCAGTGGAAAAGTTAGCAAAATAAAGAGATTGCCCAACTGAATTAAATTGCCAAAGAACAAACTGTAATTTTCCAAGTTAAAAAAAAATCTCTAAATCTCAATATCAAGAGAATTTTTCTATTTTAAAATAAGGACTTTCTTACTTTTGGCCTTAATTATAAACCCCACTGTTCCCTAATCTTATCCTACTTCATGAAGCACAACAGGAGTAAGTATAGCATAATTCTTGGGAGCATGAACTTTGGAAGTAGGTAGACCTAACCTTATGCCCCACAGTACCACTTATTCCTGTGTGATCTTGGTCGAGCTGCTTAAACTCTCCCAAGTAATCTGTGTTTTTCTTATTGTGAAATGTGGATGATAAAGGATCCTTGTGATGATGTTCAAGTGATTTAATAATGTCTATAAAGCATTTAGGTAAATAGAAATGTTCAATACATGCTAGTTGTTATATGAGGGGGGACCCAAAAAATGGAATTTTTTTTTAATAGTGGCCCCTTGTGATACAGGCTTCCCCCACTTGGTGAGTGTTCTGTGAACCCATTGGCATCAGTGTACCAACTGTCGTTGTGAGAGGCTGTGTTAGGCTTCAGTGAATTTTTTAAAAGAGATTCTTTCATCGTGTTTGCCCATTTCTTGATGGGTGATTTACGAGTGCACCTGCCCACACTGTGCTGAGTGTTCAGCAGTTTTTGACCAAAATGTCATGACCCCCTTGCCCTACTCTCCCTATTCACCTGATTTTACCCCAAGTGACTTTGCCAGTGTGGAAGAGGTAAAACAAAACTGCAGAAGCACTGAAAGGCACCAAAGTTGATGATTTCAAAAACTTTTGGGCAGTGGAAAAAGTGCCTTGATAGGTGTATTGCTTCAGAGTGTACTTTGAAGGTGACTGAAGTTTAAACATGTAAGAATAAATACACAGTTTTTAATAAATACATTCCATTTGGGGGTGTTCTCCTCATAGGCATGACATCTTTCTGCCTTGTTGCCTCCACACATTTATGTTGACCTTTTTTTCAAGCATATTTTGAAAAATTTCTAGCCACTTTTTAAAGTCTGTGTTTAGGCTGACTCTTCACTGGGTTTTTTTTTTTTTTCTTTCTATCTTTCTCACTTATCTAAGTTCCCATGGTAGTCAACTATAGCACTCACCTTGTATTATAGTTACATGTTTGTCTATCTTCTATACTATATCATGAATTTTAAGGGCAATGAGTATGTTTGTATTTTTCTAATCTACTACAGGGTTTGGCACATGTTATTTAATAGCGTGTTTGTTAAACTGCTAATTGACTTGTATATAAATTGTGTAGTGTTAATCAAATGGTAGTGCTATTTTAGACTTAGTATGTGCTTATTAGGAAGTAATTATTTGGCATTTAAGTGCCAATGATTAGAATATTACTACAAAGATAATTGAGCAATGATTCCAAGTACCAGGCTATAACAGTTTTTTTTACTATCCATATGTTATCCATTTTAGCAACTTTAAAAACATTGTATATAAATGAATCTATTTGCTTCCTTTCTACTGTAAGCCATTAGGATCAATCCCATCTTTTAAATTGATTCCCTCCACCCCCAGGATTTTAAAGCTGATATCTTAAATACAGTATTTTATTTAGGCTAAATCTTGATGACTACTATTAAGAACTTAGTATGTGTCAGGCACTAAAGGACTTTAGTATGCTATGTGATTTAAATCCTTACAACAATCCTACTAAATGTCAGTGCTATTGTTTTCCATGCTTTTGTGATTAGAAACTAAAACTTATAGATGGAGAGTAACTTGTCCTAGGTCTCAGAACTAATAAGTGCTAGATTCAGGATTTGAACAAGCATTAGATACTTTATATGTATTACCTCAAATTTAAGAATTGATAAAGTTCAAATAAAACTTTGACAGTCTGATTCTGGAGCCTGAAGTTTTACTTGAACCTTATTAATTTGAGATAACACATATAAAGTATCTAATGTTTATCTCAGAGTAGTTACTCAAAAAGTGATAGTTTTATTCTTTCTCTTTTGATAAAGAATAACTATAAAAACAAGTAACATGAACCACGTTAAGGGTCATACTCTGCAAACTTTTCTAAGCTTTTAAATTCTTGTTGCATTATTTGTTGATCACCTTATTTTCATCTGAAAGTCTGTTTCCATGTATGAGAAATTAGAGTATCAGAAAAGGATGCAGAATAGTAGGCTTGTCTTATTTCAAAATTTTGTTTTCTTTTTCATTGAGTCACTTTTTAAGACATCTGTGTGAAATTTTAGGTGTGATTTTTGTCACTGTGTCTAGTATCTTAGTAATAAACATTTGTCATTTTTAGATTTTTTTAAAAGTCACCTTTGCAGTTTGATTTAACTGTGGATAAACTTGATGTCCGGTATCTTAAGATCCAAATAACTTGCACACAATTTTACTATTATATGGATTTAGAAATTCAGTAGATCAAGTGTTTTCTGGATTTTATTATGTACAGCAAAATCCTGATATAACACCTCACCATCGTTTTTTTTCCCTTAACATCAGCATTATTCAGGGATTGGTTCTATTATGTTTAGAAAAAATATTTTTGAAATATTTTAAGCCCTACCTACATTTTATGTAAGCATTTTTCATCTTTGTTAAAATAGGTAAGTCAACAAACTGGGAAGATGATGGTTGGGGAGCATGGGAAGAAACAGAACCTCAAGAACCTGTAAGTCTTTAGTAACGTATGCATGTTTTTTTATTTGTGGCATTTTCCTAATGATGGTAACATATTTCATTGTTAGGTTGACATTTTAAGATCTATTATATTTAAAGAACATTTTTGTGCTTAATGAATAGTACTTAACTAGATACTTCTTAAGGAACTTAATGACCTTATAGCTAGGTGGATATCTTTGTTTTTTGCTGCTGTGACGTGCTACCTGTAGTTTATAATGAACAGAAGTGTATTGGCTCACAGTGCTGAAGACTGGGAAGTTGAGGATCGAGGTACCAGCATCTGGCAAGAGCTTTCTCGATGCTTTGTAATATGGCAGAAGGCTATAGGTGAAAGCAAGAGAGAAAAGAGACCAAATTCCCACTTTTAGAACAAACTCACTCCCCCAATAATAAGCCAACTTCCCTTAATAATGGCATTGATCCATTCACTCTGCCCTCATGGCCTAATCAACTCTCATTAAACCACACCTCCCAACACTGTTGCATTAGGGATTAAGTTTCCAGCACATGCTTTTTGGAGGACATATTCAAACCATAGCAGTAAGCATAATGGAGAATAGTTGTTTTAGGATTCTTAGATTATTTCACTATTCACAACAATCATATGTTGTAGCTGCCATAATCTAGACATTTTTTTAGGTGCTGAAAATATAGCAGTGAACAAGATCAACCAAGTCCCTGTATGTTTTAGGATATTTTCATTTGTGACTAATAGAAAATCTAACTTAAACTGACTTAAGAAAATTTGTTAGCTCACATAGAAGGAAGTCCAGAGGTAGGATGGGCTCCTGGATTAGCTGATCAGGTGATCAGGTTCTTTCTTTCCATCTACTTTTTATACACAGTATCAAACAAGCTTTCATCCTAAGACTTGTTTCTCTCACAGATGTAGTATGGCAACATGGTTCTTCATAAATGTTGGAGGGAGAAAGACTTCAGTTTTCCATGACTCTTTTAGGAGTAGGGAAGTACTTTCTTAGAAGCCTCTAGCAAACCTTGCCTTATATCTTCTTGGTCAGAGTTGTGCCAATTTCATTATTCAGTCATATCATTCCTTGAGATAGAGCATAAGAGGGTCAGCTTCTCCTGAGGCCCATAGCCACACAGGGGAAGAGTTGATTCCCAATCAAAATAAGGATTTTTTTTTTTTTAAAGTAAGAATGAACATATTAAACTGAATAGATCTTCTTACAGTCCTATTTCCAGGAGCTTGCACTCTAATGGGGAGAGAGAAATAAAATAAAATAAGGATGAAATGTATTGGTGGTAAAAGGTATGCAGATAATTCAAATGGTTATGTGATAGCAAGTGACTACTGTAGATTGGATGGTCAAGGAAGTCTTTTTTTTTTTGAGTTGGAGTCTCACTCAGTCGCCCAGACTGGAGTCCAGTGGCCGCTCCCGGCCACCGCAGCCTCGACCTGCTGGGCTCCGGCGATCCTTCCGCCTCAACCTTCCAAGTAGCTGGAACTACAGGTGCGCGCTACCACGCCCAGCTGATTTTTGATTTATTGTAGAGATGAGGTCTCGCCAAGTTGCCCAGGCGGATCTCGAACCCACGGACTCGGGCAATCCACTCACCTCAGCCTCCCAAAGGCACGGGATTACAGGCTGAGCCACCGAGCCCGGCTCAAGGAAAGTCTTTACAGAGGACATTTAAGCTGACATCTAAAAAACAACAAGGAGGCAATAAGGTAAAGATCTGGTGAAGAGCATTCTAGGTCAGGGCAGCAGCTTATCAAAAGCCCTAATGCAGGAATAGACTTGGAGTTTGAAGGAACATAAAGAAGATCAGTGTGACCTGGCAGGACTGAGACTGCTGCATAATGGGGAGCAGAGATGTAAGCAGGAAAGACCTCACGTACCTCATTTCTGACTTCTGCAGCTCACCTTGGCTGTCCTTTGGAATAGGTTCAAGTAGGGAACAAAAGTAGAAGCAGGGAAACCAATTAGGAGGCTGTTGGAGTAATTTAGTTGAGAAATGATGGTGGCTTTGATTAAGATAGAATTAGTGAAAATGAGAAACGGATGGATTCTGGATAGGTTTTGGAGATAATGATAAGATTTTTCAGTGAATTGGTTGTGAGGAATGAGAGGAAAAAGAAAAATCAATAATGACTTCTTTGATCTGGAGTTTGGTGTGGAATAGATAAAATATGGTTGGCAAAAGGTTGATTTTCCCAAAAGGTGAGTAATAGGTACCATTCTCTCTTTTTTGTTGTTTTTGTTAATATAATAACTGGATGGATGATGTGTCATATTGATTGGAGAAAATGAAGAAAAATCTAAAGAGCATCTTGTGCTAAGAAGTAGAGACATGCTCATGTAATAGAGATTGTAGAAAAGCTCCATTAGGAGTCCAAGAACAGGAAACGATTTCGGAAGGCCTCTTTTGGGATGTATTAAATAAGAAAAAATGTAGTACAGGAAGTTGGTTATTCCATCACCTCAGCAAACAACACCTGTCCCTTTCTTTTGTAATGCTGTATCAAAATGGAGACTCAGCTACTATCCGCTTTTAACTAAGACTGACTGGTTTCTGCTTACTTATGATTTAGATTGCTTCATTGCTATTGCTTATATCTTTTGTTTGTGGTTGTCTTAGATTCTTTCTCCTTCTTTGTTTCACATTCAGAGTTCATATGAGGAGTTTATTGAGTCTGTTAACTACCATCCAGTATAGGATGTTAGGGGGAGGGGGACATAGTGTTCGTACTAGTGTTGCTACTTCATGGGACGTCAGCCAACCTATTAATGCTGCCCTTTGGTCAGGCATTCATCAGCAGTTTAGTTAGCTATGGCAAGAATTAGGAGGAGAGGGAAGGGAAAACGGGGTATATATACAAAAACTTGGAGATTCTTCATGCCACTATGTAAGTAAACCCTTCAGAAGGGAATGTGCTTTGAGAATTTCTCAGAGAGTGATAGTGTCACTGGTACCTACCTTACATGTGATGTTTGGCACAGCTACTTTTAGTATTTGTTTTCTAGAATAATATAGCTAAGTGACTACTCCCAAGTAAGTTTGAGGTTATCTGGAATAAACCTCACAGGAATTATATGTTAAAGTAGACACATGCATTTGTAATTTCAGAGGAGATTCCAGTGTGACAGTTTATTCAATTTTATGTTATTACACATTTAAAATAGTGCTGGTACTGAGTTATGGTATTTATTTACAGACCCAGATGCCCCCATCTTTAAGAGCACATTGGTACATACTTGGATCTTTCTGGAATGGATTTTATTTGTGAATGACATAGTTGGGGATTTGTATGTGAGGCTGATTTTCCTTACTAATATCTCCTATTAATATCCCAATAATCCTAAATGGTTTGGTTTAGTCATAGTGCGTCATACTTGCTTTTTGGCCCATCTAACATGTGTACTGCTTTATGATATGATAACCTCATGAGTAGAAAAGAAGGAAGATCTGTTACAAAATGGAGGCAGAGAATTGAATAGACCTTATGTAAGGCTTTGTAAATTTGGAATTTATTCTAAATGTGGTCAGAAACCACATTATCTTATTTCTGGTTTTTTAAACTTGCCTTTGCTGCCTAAAAAGTGTATAATATAATAGGTGTAGTAGATTTTTTTTTTTATTAGCTGTGTCTTTCACACTTATAAAGGTAATGCGTCTAATTATTTTGCAGTATTTCATTTTGATGTTCCACTGTTGAAGCTGATTCTGAGTGATGTGGACAATGAGCACAGTTAGACTGCATAAGTGTTGACAGTCTTCCTTTAAATTTTTCCTATAAAGTATGTCTTTTTTTTTTTTTAGCAAAGATATCCTAAATCTAGGGATAAAATAGGGATCTTTTAACTGATTTAGATTAAACTGTAATATGCTTCTACCCATTCTAAAAACACATAAAAATACTAACATGTAATATTTGAATAAAATTTGAATATTTACAAATGACCCTAATGGATGAGAATGGCTATGTATTCTGTGTCTCAACAGAATACTGTAACTTGACAAACAGAGCAAGTGAAACAGTATTGTTTGACCTCACTGACAACAATTTTGGGTGTACCAGTCATTCCTAACTGTTCTTTATTACCAATAAAGAGCCACTGTACCTTGTCATGGGTCATATGTACGTGGTCAGGGAGAATGTATTTGAGTGACAATAGAAGTACACTGGGACAATGAAGTTCAAAAGCTATCTGGATATTCAAGTTTTCCTGTTTGTTCAACTGAGCTTCTTTGAATTGGATCTTGTCCTTAAAATAAGACATTTTGCCAAAAGAGACTGTTTGATGAATGGAAACAAAAATGGCATTATGGCCAGGGAAAAGGATATGACCTCTACCTTGTACTGTAGCATCAACCAGAACTTTACACTTGTTGCACTATTATGAGTTTTTGCTGAGCAAAATGTTTTATACCAGGACTTCTAGAAATTTTGCTCAGCTGAGGTAAGAAATTTCTATTTCATGACTGTCTTTGATGGTCAACAACTCCAAAGGCATAACCAGTTCCAGAAGCGTAATAAGAATTAGAGTAAATTCTGGCAGATGTGTGAAATGTAAAAGTACATGCTCTAGTCAAGGTAACAGATACAGTTACCTAGTTAAAATGTAAAAGAATGGATAGGGAACTTTTTTTTTTTTTTTTTTTTTGAGTTGGAGTCTCACTGTCACCCAGACTGGAGTGCAGTGGCCGCTCCCGGCCACCGCAGCCTCGACCTGCTGGGCTCCGGCGATCCTTCCGCCTCAGCCTTCCGAGTAGCCGGAATTACAGGCATGCGCTACCATGCCCAGTTGATTTTTTGATTTATTGTAGAGATGAGGTCTCGCTGCCCAGGCGGGTCTCGAACCCGCGGGCTCAGGCAATCCACTCACCTCAGCCTCCCAAAGGCGCGGGATTACAGACTGAGCCACCGAGCCCGGCTGATAGAGAACTTTTTAACGGCTCTTGTTAGGAACAGATAGCAAACTCAAAACCTCCCTTCCCTGGGAGTCTGACTGGCTATTGACC